TTATTTTTATTTATTTTTATTTATTTTTATTTATTTTTATTTATTTTTATTTATTTTTATTTATTTTTATTTATTTTTATTTATTTTTATTTATTTTTATTTATTTATTTTATTTTTATTTATTTTTATTTATTTTTATTTATTTTTATTTATTTTTATTTATTTTTATTTATTTTTATTTATTTTTATTTATTTTTATTTATTTTTATTTATTTTTATTTATTTTTATTTATTTTTATTTATTTTTATTTATTTTTATTTATTTTTATTTATTTTTATTTATTTTTATTTATTTTTATTTATTTTTATTCATTATAATATAATTTACATTATCATTGTATTGATTTATTATTTTTATTTATTTTGATTTACGCACTTTATCCTATATATAAAACAGGATTAACTATGCATGTAAATACTGTAAATAGGTACCTACTAATCTAAAATGCCCTAATTACTCGTAATGACTAAGGGGCTGCAAATCTGGGCGTAAATGATACCATTATTTTTGTTGTCCTTTTTCTGGAGCGCAAGTGAGCCAAAAAAAGGTTGTGAGCGCAAATGGGCCGGACGCAACTGGTCCTGTATCTTTTTTTAGTTATAGTTTATTGTTTTATCTCGAAACAAGTGTTAAACTTGCATCTCGAGTATTTTATTCATACATAATATACTAGTATTATAACAGGAATATTAGTATCAAAGCATCCAAAATTGTTAACAAAATTTATATTCACCGTAACTCAATAATACTCGTATAATCTAGAATCTACTCTCAGAATTTATTTTCTACCCACAGTTTTTTTTTTATCAACCTGTCGAAATTTTATTGCGCGGTAAATATAAAGTTTTATATATTTTAATCACAAATATTTTAATTGTACGATTGTTTTAACGTTAAACCATTTAAAATGGGTTTGTTCTGAATCAGTCAATATTATCAGCAATAAATCTTATACATTTTTGAAATCAAGCCACAATTTTGTATATTCTATTAGAATTAATTTTCAGTTATGGATATAATTTACTAAGGGCCAGATGCATAGGTTACGTTTATATGTAGTACAGTTTAAACTTTAGTCGTGTAAGGGCCGGTTTTTCAATCTCCGGCTATTTATGATAGCTGGCAGCTACGGAGATATCCGTCAGCCACTGCCTGTCAAAACGTTTATCGACCTCCAATTATACGATAGCCGTCAGCTATTCTGACTGTAACCGTAACCGACACTTGCAAGTGGCAATTTCGTACAAATAGCCCCCAGCTATTTATTATACATGCGCAGAACGATGTTTGTCAAATTTAGAGGTTAATATTTTTATTAATTGTATTATTTCTCAAAAAGGATTTCTTTGAATACAAAGAAATTATTTAATTTATTGAATATGTGCCAAGATGACCGTGTAATCCGTGTATTGCAAGGGAACGGCCCAATTATTTTGATATCGAACTAAATTTTAGATTTTTCTGCAACCTCCTCATTTCGTTTCCGTGATATTGCATTTTCTATTTTTTTTTTTTTAATTCTATAAGATAAGCAAATTTCAATTTTAGGACTCTATCTGATGCCGCGAAATAAAGTATTGTCTCTTTTTTCTAAATCACCAATTATCCAAAAACAGAAAATAACAACTGTCATAAAGAAAAATGGAAGCAAAATAGAACAATTTTGTATGTGAAGGTCGATGACGATCAACACAAAACACGACACGTAAAGCGGAAAATTTAAATGATCCAATAAAAAAACCATTTAATAAATTAGCAGAAATGCCAACCTGTCTAAGAATAAATAAAAACTATTAGACTACGTAGCTAGCAATTAAATTCGTGACGATAAACAGTTTCATCCATGTTCCATCGGTAACAGGGACTTTGACTGTCAGCTACGATATAGCTGTCGGCTACGCAACAACCACTTTGGACATTGAAAAACCGGCCCTTAGTCCCTGTTAATCTATTTGTGGCTAACTTCATCTCAATTCCCATCTAGGTCGTGTCAAATGCAAATGTAGGCCAATTTGTTCTAGTAGGTAATACTTCCACAGAAGCTTTTAATATTCTAAACCTATTTAGGTCTATCCAGATTTCCACTTTCTCTATTCGTCTTAGGAAATGAATTCTTCTTGGGTTATTAATGATATTTAAAATATTCTTCAAACAAAATATCTTCGATTAGTTCGAAAACATCTATGTTGGGTTTAATAAAAAATGTGTCTAGATTTACAAAATGTTTTTCACCAAAACAATCTTTAAACGGATAATGATTGAAAGAAAACACAACCACATTGACAGAAACACTTTACATCATATGCTTTGCACTTGTGTTTAACTGAAGCTCGTAGTTTGGTGATGCAGTATCTACAGATTGCTGGTTAAACTTCGGATGACGGTTAAATTGTTATTTAAATTTAGGTTTAACGGGAACTTGCAGTTTAAATTGAACCTATTCAACTCGTCCTAAAAGAGTATTTAATTATTGGCATTTAATGAAAAATGTTACTAAATCTAGGTATAAAATTATTTTTAGAAGAAATTAAATCTTTAACATCCATATTGAGAAAAGGTAGAGTTGGACGATGCCATGATTTTTCAATCACACTTTAAATCGTTTTTTTTTTCTGGGTTCGTCTGAATTAGTCTCCGATAACACTGCAGCATAATGGCTTATTGTATTTAACCCATGTGAATTCATAGTACTCACTCTGTTATCTTTGTCCTTTGTACAAGTTGGTAAAAGTCCTTGACAGGGTGTATTCTATATGTTCTTGAATCGACCTGCGGTTGTCCAAAAAATGCCTGTGTCGATCCAGTGTTTCGCAGTTGTGCAGTATGTGTTTGGCTATTTCTGGTTTCTTGTGACACAATAAGTCTACATTATATAAGCATATTTTGTTCAGGTATCCCTTTCCTGGGGCATACCCATAGAGATTAGTTTTCCTGTTTCGAACATAGTTTCCCTATAAAGGTTTTCCCATGTGCTTGTTTTTGGAGATTCTCCCAAGAGTTGTTGTGTTTTCTCCGGACCCCGTCTCGAACTGTACGTTTTGTACTCCAAGGTTTATATCTGGTTGAGGTAATTCGCAAGTTCGTCAGCCGTTTCATTGCCCTCGATCTTTTGATGACCTGGCTCCCAATCTACTTTTAATCTATTTCAGTCTGTCAGTCTCCTCAGTTTTTCGCTGCAATCTCATAACCAGCCTAGGCGTCACTTTCTGACTCGATATGGCCTTAAAGGGCGCCTGATCTGTTTACTTTCGGTAGCTCTCCTATTGCTAGATTTCATAAACCTCTGCCTGAAATATTGAAGTATGTTTTCTTATTACATAGCTAAGGTTGGTGATGGTTTTTTTGGAGAATACTCCAACCTTGACCCGTCATGTACCAGGTTTATTGCTGGGTTCCTTTATGGTGTTCTCCGTTGTTTGGTATCAAAACCTAGAATAGAGTATTAAAGAAGTAACACTTGGTTATGTGATCTGTTCTCACGTCAACTCTATCGGACATTAATTATAATGACGTCTCTAACTATAAGCTTTTACACGTGGGTAAATTTAAAAATGCTTTGTACATTAGGTTATCAGTGAATTAGGCTATACGAGTAACTTGTTTACAAGGGAAGCTTCGGGCTGAATTTTCAGAGAAGGCCATTTCCATTAGCCATAACTTTTTTAGCATGGTTTGTAGGAATTTTAATCCCGGGAATTTTAATCCTAAAACTGCCTTTGATTGTCTTCAATTGAGAACCACGAAATCACAATCTTATTTTAAAATATTAAATTCAAAATATATGATTCTCTCTTTAGGACATAACAGATTATTAGCTTTCTTATGGTGACTTTTATTGAGCGAGATACATGAACGAATTTAAATCAAACAAAGAAAAAAATAAGGTATAGACACGCCCAGATGACGTTCCACGGTTGTAACGCACATCGGTCGAAACTAAGAAGAGTTTCATTTAATTTCCTATCGCTATCTACCCGACGCGACGGTTTATTTTCGCTAGCGCATTTAATACTGCCGCTAGCTATGGTTCTGTATTCGCTGAAAGGTTCCTGCAGTTTTTAAGCAAATTATGTCTTTTTGGTCCATTTTAAACATGTGTTGCTTTGTTACCACTCAAAAATATGGCCAGTAATTTTTTTGGAAATTTTACCATTACATTATATGGAGAAATTATAGGTTCCATTTAAAATATTGATTTCCTGAGCTTTATATTAAAGATTGGGCATTGGGTTATAACTCAATTATTGTTTGTTATATCCATGATGATCCCCATATTAATTTAGGAAAAGTCTAGTGCGTACTCGAAACGAGGGGGGAGGGCAGAAAGTTAAAAACTACAGCCTCGCAGGAGCGAGATACTTTCAAAGTGTGTTAAACGTGTTAATTAATTACGTTGAATACATTTTCATATTATAAATTATAGAATATCAGAAAGATATATTAGACTCAAAAATTTTTATTTCTCAAAATTATTTATTTCTGCACTACTTTCCCCTGAACCTTGAAAACAGCAGCTTCGCAAAAAAACAATAAAATTTTTATCTTTTCTCTGGAATACGTCTAGGAATGTACTTCTTCTATAGTTGAATGCACGTGGAAGTCGCTGGCCAATAAAATCGAACTAGCATGATGTTAAGTCTTATTGTTTTAGACTTTATTTTAAAACCGGCAACGCCGCACACATATGGCATATTCTTTGCGCCTTGTTCTAAAAGGTATAGGGCACTTGAAATTGTATAAAATTTGAAGCGAATGGTGCAACGTTGACCGGCAAACGGTTCATTCTGTTAGTTTTGTATTTTTTCTATTACATTAAATTCGTATAAAAACCATAAAGCAGTTTTTTTGGGTTATTTAAAGTGCAATCAAACACATGACATGATGGCGTGTGAATCACTGCATTATGGTTTGAGGTTAGAACCAGGGGGGCTTACAACATATGCGCGTTATATCAACAGGTTAGTGCGCAACACATCCGCGCATACAAGTCCGTTTTACAATGTCATTTTAGAACATTTGAAGCAACAGGAATAAAGGTAAGCCCTTAACGAGTGCGGTATTGGTTTCAACTGTATATTTTGATTTGTTAAACTTTTTTAGGAACTTTGGATAAAAGCAGGAGCAGGAGCTACAAAACGAGATGTTATGGCTGTTCGATGTGGAACGGAAACACTTTCGGTACTTCCTGCACTTTATTACTTAACAGCGGCAGATTATACCAGCAAATTTGGGACCAAACGTGCTGCCCTTTATGCCGAACTACAAAACCATCTGTCAATTTTTGTACAAGGTATAACTACCTATAATTACTTAAAAAATTCACTTATAAATACCTATTTAAAATATACCCTGTATAGTAACTTATTTAGTACATTTAACTTTTTTAGATTTGTCGAATACCGAAATTAAAAAGTCTGTTGGAGATGCAGAGAAATATTTCATAAAAGTATTACGAAAAAAGACTTCATGCAAAACGTTTAATGAGCTGAGGTATTGGATGTATCAACAACAAAAGTGTTTCTTTAGAAAAATTGCCACTAACAACTTCAAACATAAGATTTCATATTCTAACAGCTTTTAATATTGTATATATTCAAAATCACTATTTGAAGAGAACACCAAATCTTCTCAATCCCCTCCAATTTGGTTACAATAACGAAAACGGTTACCTGGTGCCCAATCGTTTAAAAAATATTTTTCCTCCAACTGAAACTGTAATTGTTCAAAATGTTCTCGAGAAAACAGTTGTGGTTGTAGAATCGCTGGGTTAGCGTGTTGCTCCTTCTGTAAACTGTCAGACAAACCAGTGCAATAAACTCTGTAATATGTAAAAATTTTATGTTTTAAGAGATTCGAAATATATTCGTATTTTTCTACCTCTAACTTTTTTGTTGCATGTTGATATTTTGGACCACCCTGTATAATCTAAACAACAACTATTAAACAGATATATTCTGAGCTTTATTGAACAGTGACAAAATTAAGTAGATAAAAACACAAGTGTATGTGGAACACTCTAATGTCATATGTTTCAATATATACATCTTGGACAACATAATGCCACAAAAATCGGGGACCTCTCAAAAACACAGGATGTTACCTAGCGTATAGACTAATTGAAAAGTATATAGGGCCTAACCATTCCTGGTTTATTTGGCTAATGTTATTGATATCTAAAGAAACATGGTGATGGCCAGAAAAGGCACAATGAAAACAAACGGTACAGAGCATCTGAATAAGCCTGTCATTTGGAACTGTGCTAATGTAAGAGAGAAAAAAATAGAATTGCCACTACGCATCTGATTATCAAATGATAGGCTTTTATAAATACTATGAATTACCAACCAATTTGCCATTCTATTGGCGTAAGGTCATTACTGTCGATAAGGTATTAAACAAAACAAAATTGCAAACCTAAAATGTTAAATTTAAACTCGAATCACGTAACTTCGAAGAAAAAATGTTTTAAACAATCGAGTATATTCCAATTTACAAGGTATCTGATACATGCAGTTGTAGGAAATTGATGGAATTAAAATAAGTATACATAAATATTGTTTTTTTATTTAAATGTATTAGACAATGATTGATTTTCTTGTTCACAAAATTATTATAATTCGGGAATACCAAAATGGATTCTCGTCAGAAACATATTTTTATCTCGATCAAATTAACCAACATTTCGTTACTGTGCATCCTGCAGTAGCCTACGGCTGTTATAGGAAACATACAATTAAAAGAAGAAGTGCAATGTCATGCATCACCCTACAATGTGCTGCGGTTTTTATGAGTAAAAGTACGAATAAAAGAAGAAGAGAGAATAGTCTAGAAATGTTATTCCGTGTCAAAAAACCATGGAGGTACCAAGAAACAATTGGAAGGTTCATACTATTAATATTTCTATTTAAAATTACAACAAAACCTAATATTGGGATTATTTAAGTCACACTAAATAACTTCATCTCAATGTGACTTAGATATTATTGTAGAAAGATTTAATTTCATACCGATTCAATTGTTAATCCTAATACATTGTAGATGGACTTCATTATCAAAAAAAGACTAAAAACTCGTATATACTCCAAAAATTTTTTCATAAGCATGGCTGGCTACTCCTCGGTGCTTTTGATAAGTGAGTCTTTGGAATCCCACCATGCCCTGAGTTTTTCTAATTAATTAAAAAAATTATTAATTATAATGCCTAGGTAGTATTTCTCCCACTCAACCATTCAACCACTCAACAAAGCCCACATATAACATGAAGCAATATTTCCCAAGTGTGGCCCAATCTAATAGTCTTTATTAAAAACTCTTGGTCTATTTACCTACAATTTCTTCTTGTAATAGATCAGAACCACGGTTGGACTATAAGGTGAACCATATTCTATTTATTAATAAAAGAATACGTGGTTAAAATTGATGAGGGTTACGAGTAAAAATCCGCTAGGTTCGCTAGTGTCATTACGGCAACAGTATTGCCAAGTGCGGAGATTTTACCGATTTTCGGGTACTGTTACCAATCTTACGAACTGTCATAAATTGACGCTTATAATTTATTCATCAAAGTAGCGTTTTAGAATACCCTTGCAGCAGTCCTAGATTTGTCAAGAGGCCATATAGGCCGCGGCCTAGGGGCGGCAATGTCCTAGGGGCGGCAGATTTCAGACGACGCTCAATCGATTTCAGAGGATAAAAGTCAAACAATTTCATTGGTTTTCTCATGGTTTTTTCTATTAATACATTAAATCCCTATATAAACTCATTCCTATTGAAAATTATCAATCCTAGGTACCTAATGCTATTGTACCTGTTTTATCTATATTACGACGATTTGGTTCAAGAATGTGTGCATTTTCACAGTCACATTTCCTCCAATAAAAGTGCAGAGTGTGCATCCTTGATCAAACTCACTACTAAGTCTCTCAACGTTTTTGAGGAAACAATCTCTGTCTAATGTTTACCCTAACTTGGATATAGCTCTCCGTATCGCACTTTCCACTCCGGTTACAAATTATTGGGAAAAGAGTTTTTCCTGTTTAGAACGCTTGAAAAATTATCAAAGGTCTTCATTGTCTCAAGTCCCGTAAAAAATTGTAATTCTTGTTTCTTTTTACGCTCTTTCTTTAATGACTAATTCATTAGTTTATTTAACTGTATTGGCTTCCTTACTACAAATGGAAAATTATTATTTTAAAGAGGTTCATGGGGCGGTGGAAATAAAGTGGCCTACACTTATAAAAAAATATAAATCCGGCACTGCCTTGCAGGGTCTTATGTTTGTAAGATACCATCATAAAATAAAAGTTTGTAAAATGCGCTAGTTCAGTGATGATGTATTTATGGTTCCACTGACAAAGTGACAGTAGATTTTTTGAGTTCGTTTTGTTCGTTTTGTTTACCTAAATTATATCGTTTCTTCACTTTTATAAATATATTTCTAAAGTAAGTAGATAACATGCATCAAATATTCAATCGTTTAGTTACCAATTACATACCTTTAAACTATTTTTTATGACCTGTAAACAATATTTAGAAATAAACTGAAAACAGTAAAAACGTATACGTCAAATTAATTGATGTTTATGTTAAAAGTTTGTTAGAATTAAATGTCAGTGGAACCAAAATAACATCACACTGAACCAGCGCATATGTATATGATGTTGTATTTATATCAAAAATAAAGTCATTATGATAATAAAATTAAAAAAAAGTTGCCAACGAGGTAAGCTTAACCTTGGTCTTTTACCAGGGCTTTCACGTAATAAAATATTGATTAAATGGTGACAAGTGTGTGACGTGATGAGGTAAGAAGGACTACAGCACTATTGCTTTGCAAAGACATGTTTTAAAATATTTTTCATCACTTCACTATTGCATTTTATTGGTTACATATATCTTTTTATCAAATCATTATTAAAATGGAAGACATACCACTCATCAAGAGAATTGCTGTCAAATTTGACAAGTCACTATTGAATAACAAAGTTAACTAGATCAGAATTTAATATTTCAAAAATTAGAAGAATTTTTTCACGTCAATGTTTATAAGCACACACGTTAGAATTTTCTAAAACTAATTCGTAGGTACTTACCAAAATTGTAAAGTCCTTTTGTGTAAATTTATCAGTTCCAATTTCATTAATTTTTTCTAATGTAACCTGATATATATCTTCAACAAATTTCTTCTTTTGTATAGGGAAGTATTGAAAATCCATATGTTTCCAAACGTGCCCATGTACGTACATACTTTGATTCATTGTACATTTTAAATAATCTGGCAACAGTCTATATACCCTCTGCATGAGGTATTTAAGATGTATTTTTTCTAATCTATAAGTATTATTTCCAAACTCTAAATTGTTGTAAATTTTTATAAGGTTTATCAAAGTATCAGTACAAAATCGTGGATTTGCGTTTCTGAAAATAAATCGGTATAAGTAAATAATAAGTTCTAACTCAAAATTTAATTTATAAATAATAAAAAAACCATATGATAAGTAAAATTCAAAAATATTACAAATAAAGACATTCAATTTATAAAGGCCGATATCCAACATCAGAATTGATTAGTTTTAATTTATGGTTAGTAAGTTGAGACAGTCAAGGCTATTGTTTAAGAACTTCTACACGATCTACAGAGAATAACATTTCCTGTGATGTTGCTTCATTATACATTTTCAATGTATTTTATAAATATGAAAAAGAACGTTAGTCCCAGATCAGTACACCCATTTCTCTCAAGATTTTCACGAGAAATGTCAATATGAAAAGAGTATGTTTAAAGCGAGTGAGAATTAAAATTCTTAGGAGAATTAAAATAAAAAAAAAATTAAAATTCTTAGAATTTTATATTTTCAGTATTTCTGCTCTAATTAATGACTGTTAGCAGGTGTGACCAATAACTCTGACGTCATTTCTATTGAAAGCATTGGAAAAACTGATTGATTAGCATGTCCGGCAAACCACTCTGATAAAGAAGCCATTTCTTACAAACCAACATGCCTATCAATCAGGAAAATCTTGTGAATCTGCTCCTCATCATCTCGTAACCAAGATAGAGGGGGAACTCAGTAGCCAAGAAATAGTCCTAGGAGCATTTCTTGACAAAGAAGGAGCTTTTGATAATACATCCTTTAAATCAATGGTAGCTGCCGCTCGCAAACGTGGAATAGAAGACACCATCTGCTGGTGGATAGAAGACATGTTACGCGGACGGCAAGTACAGGCACAAATGTTTAGTGAAACCATGCAGGTGAATGTCCACAGGGAATGCCCACAGGGTGTGGAGTCCTTTCTCCTCTACTGTGGAATCTAGTGGCAGATGAACTGCTGAAAACACTAAACAATCAAGGAATCTAGTGACAGATGAACTGCTGAAAACACTGAACCAGCACTGAACAATCAAGGGCTGTACGCCCAAGGATATGCCCATGACATAGTCACCCTTATCCTAGGGAAACACCAAACCACAGTCTTCAAACTCATGCAAAGAGCTCTTAGGCTGACAGAAATGTGGTGCGTTAGGGAAAACCTCTTGGTAGACCCTGACAAGGCACAATTTTACTGGGAAAACAAGTTTGGAGGAAGGCTAAATAAAACGAACCAAGTAAAATATCTGGGTCTAATCCTAGATAGCAAACTTACTTGGAACCAACACTTACAAAAAGTGACCAACAAATGTAAAATGTCTCTCATTGTAGGGAGACGGGTATTTGGAAAAACATGGGGATTAAAACCGAAAATGGTCCACTGGTTATATTTGACAATAACAAGACCCATGATAACTTATGGAGCGGTTGTTTGGTGGCCAAAAGTAAACCAGAAAAAAATAGCCCTCAATGCCCTCTCAGGAGTTCAGAGGCTGGCATGCATTTGTATTACAGGAGCATTAAGAAGTACAGCGACAGCCTCTATGAAAATAATTCTAAACCTCCCACCTCTTGACCTAGTTATAAAGGGGGAGGCCAGAATAAGTGCATACAGACTGGAAATCTCAAACAACTGGAACCCACTGGGACATATAAAACATACCAGAATAACACAACAAGTAAATGATTCTATAGTAAAGATGGAATCACATAACACCCCTCCTAATCTTCAACAGACTCTTCCAGGTCAACTGCAACTGGAACGAAGTAAATAAGGAGATAGATAAATACTTGCTTAGCGGTCTCGTATGTTATACGGATGGATCTAAAACTAACAAGGGAACAGGCTTTGGCGTACATGGGGTTATGCGACATCATCGTCTCACTGGGAAAACATATCACAGTATTTCAGGCTGAAATACATGCAATCGAATTGTGTGTACGAGATAATTTAAGAAAGAAGTACAAAAACAAACCATCCTAATGCTCTCTTAAAGGCTCTTGATTCAAACAGAATCAAGTCAAAGCTTGTTTGAAACTGCTTTGGAATACTAAATGATCTGGCAACCCACAAAAAGGTAAAACTAGCATGGGTACCAGGGCACAAAGGTATCCAAGGAAATGAAAAGGCTGATGAACTCGCCAAAGAGGGATCATAACTACCATTCACAGGACCCGAACCTGTATTTGGGATAAGCAAAACCTCTGCTCGGCAGGCAGTGAACAGGTGAATACCCACAAAACACCAAATTCACTGGCAACAGAATCAGTAGGCTCATGCTAAAGGGGACCAAACCCACGCATGGCTACTGAGGCACTACAACTAGCAAGGCCTCAGATATCCACCATTGTGAGATTACTAACGGGGCACTGCTTGCTGAAGCACCTTCATGAGATGGGATTACACAATGATCCCACTACGTGTAGAATCTGCATGGAAGAGGAAGAAACCTCATAGTATGTCTTCTTCGAATTCGAAGCTCTTACTAGGCGACGATTCATCCTTTTCGACCTAGAACCGGAAAGAACGCCCCAGGAACACTTGGTACTTATTAAAACTAACCAAAGACACAGGACTATTCCAAAGATAATACCTGAATACGGGGAAAGCAGGGGAATACAATAGACCAAAGAGGCCGCAGTGTTCTGGGCCAAACCTAACCCTACCTACTTATAACCGACAAAGATAAAGATAAAAGGTGTATCTGAGAATATTTTATTGATTTTTTTTAAAAACAAGAAGAAAAACATGAAAGGTTGATTTTTATTCCTTTCTATCATATCTTTAACTGCCATACGTCATTCCCCTCCCCTTCGACACTCTAACCAGTCTAATCAATACAATTTAAATAGGGAAAGTACTAAGTGTGACATATCTTTAAAAAGGTAATTTTATTGGATAATCAACAATATGAATGTTCATGCGTTACTTTTGATTTTAACGACCCATGTCGGGACAAAAATTTTTACGTATTGGAAAGTATGACGCTTCATTCGAACGCTAATTTAGTAGTAATTTAATGTGAAGCATAAATGTGTGATTTTGGTTGATTGCGATTAAAATTTGTATTTGTTAACATTATAGATTTGAAAGGTTTTTCAATTACTCGTATAGAAATTCATGTTTCATTCAATTATGTTTTATGTTGTGCATTAAATTATTAATAAAATTAGCTTTCAAATGAGGTGTCATACTTTACAATACAGTTTTTTAACTCGCTAGAGGGCCCTAAAAACAAAAGTAACGCAATGAATAGGCATATTGCTAAATTCTGAATAATATTACATTTTCAATGGTGTAACATATTTGGTACTTTTCCTAAATTATATTGGTTAGTCTGACATATGAGAGTTGAGGATATAATATGATGGAATATAAATCCGAACGTTTTTCGTTTTTTTTTAATCTCCTAAAAAATATTCTTAGGTACAGTCGGCCTTAATTAGACATCATTAAATAGGTTTTATAGCGAGTTTTCTAAAATGAAAAAAATCGTCTAGCCTAAACAAACAAATATATTTTTATAAACTAGTAAAATCGCTTGTGAAAATTCTATTATTCAAATAAATATTAACATTCTAATCAAATCCGATATTTACGTCAGACGGTTGAATATATATTCGAGGCACTAAATAACTTAGTTGTTAAAAATGGTGCAAACAAACGCTATTTCCAACATATCACAAAAATACGATAATTAAAAATACATAATTATGTTTTTTATCAATCGAAACCATCACTACTGTAGACTAATACGATGGCCGATTAGAAAGTAGGTAATTTATGTATTTAGGAGACCCATTTTTTGTTCAAGTTCAAAATAATTGAAGGTCTAAAGGTACTTGAAGGTTTTTTTGCACGTGTAGACAAAACATTGTGCAAAGTCAAACGAAGATTAAAATTTATGAGGGATTTAGAATAAGGGTTATTAACACATTTCCAAGAAATCAGAATTTCTGCAAAATTAGTTATACGAGGGTAAACTGATTAATAGAACTAGAATGCTTGGCATTCTATATGATACTCTTCACAGTTAAATAAACTCCCTTTTAACCCCCATTTTTAATACGATTTTTTTTTTAATCAATAGGCTTCGTCATTGCAGAGCTTGATTTTTTCTGAAAATTTTAAATTGATATTGTTTTTTGTTTCTGATTTATGAATTTTTTTTAAATTTTAACCTCCCCCATTTTTATTCAGATTTTTTTAAAAACGAATAAACTCTGTTCCATTGTAGAGCTTGATTAATCAGATTTTTTTTTCAATATCGTACCCTTCGTACCCAGACAACACACCAAATCCCAGAGATATCCACAGAATATCTTTTGTGGATATCCAATATATCCACAGGATATCAGAAATATTCCGTGGATCTAATATGGATATCCAAATGTCCGTCTATATCCAGAATATAGAAGATATCCCTATGGATATCCAGCAAAATATCTAATGGGTATATTCCAGAAAATACAAGAAATCCCAGAGATATCCACAGAATATATTTTGTGGATATACAATATAGATATCCAACCAAATGTCCGTCTATATCCCAGGATATTCGGATATTCAGCAAAATATTTTATGGGTATCTTTAATAGAGGTTCATAAGTAACCAATGATTATTGAATAACGTCGAAGAAAAAATAGCAGAGATAAAAAATATTTTCAACACTCTGCCTTTGATTTTACCCACAAAGGAGAAAGTCTTCCTAATTAGGACTCTTCAGCAATAAATGGAAATTCTCGACTCCAGTCTCTAATGGAGTCTGATAGTATACAAATTTCGATCGAACTCAATTACGGCGGGTTAAGCATGAGTTGATGTGAAAGTGGTATCGCCATCTATACTTAGGAAGCAAAATCAAAAATTATCCACGATGGCTTGCGTTCGCGCCTATACTTTGATATATTTAGTGGATGTCCATGGGATATTACTCGTAAATACACCTTAAAAAAATTAATTTTAAATATCTGAACGGTACTATTAGCCACAATGTCGAGCACAATGGTGTAATTTTTTAATAATTTGCTATATAATTACTATTATTTATGGACATTTGCATGTCTATAAATTACATCTCATGGGTATAAAATAGATATTCACCATGGACTGGACATTCAGTGGATATTGGGATGTCCAGTAGATATCCAAAGGATTTGGTGTGCTGTCTGGGTACCCTTATAGATTTTTTGTTTTTGACTTATAGTGCGGATAAAAAACGTGACATTGGACGGACATTTTTAAAAGTTGTTTAAAATTTGATGAAAAGGATTTTGGTACAAAAACTTTTAAATTTGGATGATTAGAAACTTTGGTTTCTTGAAAGTAAACCTAAAATACTCTTCACATACTACTGTGTGAAAAGTATAATAAAGCGCGCCGTTTTACTACTGGAGTTCCTCAGGGTCCCATCATGAGACTATTTTTTACTTTGTGCTTTATTTGATGACCTTTGCTTACGCCGATAATTTAATGATATTCTTAAATAAATATGTAGTATGTAAGTAAAATTGATACATATTTATTTTCTTCTTAATAATAGTTATTAGATATAGAACTAAATACACTTAGCGGCAAAATTATCGCATAATTATAATACGAGTAGTTGTAATTCGTCTAAAAACAAAATATTTTGATATTACCCTGTATAATAAGAAATAAAACAAATGAAACATATTTTTTTAACGATTATTTTATTTTACAAAATTAAAAAGTCAGCGATTTCGGTATAATTTCTTCAGAATATAGTGAAATATAGGCTAGTTGCTTTTGTACAATAAATTAGTTTCTGTAGTGTGTGTACGTTTAAAATGAATCCACACCGAGTACAAAATCGAAATTTAATGAAGCAGGAATCCGTGGTGGCCGTCACCCTGAGTGGTGAAGGGGGAAATCAGAGTTACATTGCTCAGCAACTCAATGTGAATCAGTCTACCATTAGTAAGGCTTTAAGTCGATTCAGGGAAACAGGGCAGCTTACGAGAAGACCCGTCCCAGGACTTCCAAGGGTTACAACCCCCGTAGGGAATCATTTCCTTCGATTAGTAACACTTAGAACAAGGACTGTAAGCGCACCATATTTACAAAATAGGCTTCTAGATGCCCGTCAAGTTCATGTAAGTCCTGATGCTGTAAGAAGGTTTCGTGAAAGTAATCAAACCGTTACAGGACCGTTACTAACTGCAAATCATATGAGAGAAAGACTATGGTTTGCTCGAGATCATGTAAGTTGGGTGGAAATTCTCTTCTCTGATGAATCGTTTTCTTTATTCAATAATGATCGACAAGGAAGAGTATATAGAAGTGAAGGAGAGCGATATTCCCAGTGCAACATTATTCCTAGAGTGAACTATGGAGGCGGATCAGTAATAGTATGGGGATGAATATCTTTAGATGCACGTACGGAATTGGCACTTTTTCAAAATAGAGCTCTCACTGCTCGAAGGTATATAGAGACAGTTTTAGAACCACATCCCAGATAGGACAGGACGTGCTAAGGACGTCCATTACATGTCCATTTATCGTCTGTACGTCCAAGACCAATTCTAGACGTTTTAAGTATGTCCAGTTTAGTAAATCGTCGGGACGTCAAGAAATAGATATCCGTAGAACGTCAATTCTATGTGCTTTATTGTATTGCCATGGATTCACATTCGCATTGTATTATTATTTGGTTATATTATATAAACAACATATAAAAAGATAATATAAATAATTATTAAAGATGGCATTGCCCCAATATCTAATTGAATGAAGGCCAAATAGACAAAAAACGAAGAAGGTTCATTGCAAGAAAGGTATATTGTTGATAAGTGACATTATTTTTTTTATATTTATTCAGAATCAAGCACTGAAATATTCTCAGGGCTCAGGTTTTATTAAAAAAAAAAGAAAAAATATGGTGTTCAATGTTCATGATTCGATGGTATGTACATATTATACTAGTACAAGTTTTGTCATTCCGTCATTTGACTGTGATTTGACTCTGTGAGTTTGTGGTTGATTAATATTAATTTTTTGCAGTTTGTACTATTTTTATCTCTGAGAAAGGTGGAAGTTTTCCAGTGAATACTATAAAGCTATAAGGTTAGTGAATTCCTAATGTCTAGCAGGGCAAACTTAAACAAACATATTGGATTTTTATACTGATCTGCCTTTCATTTTGAATAAGCTATTAAATTATTTTCAGGTTCAGCTGAGAAGACAAATATGGCCAAATTAAGAAAAGAAACTAAACTACTGTCAATCCAGGCATGATTGAAATGGGCAAAGTAGAGGAGAGACGAAATGAATTCATATTCATAGGTTATTTGCTTTCCAATAAAAAAAATTGAAATGTTCATTATTTTCACTAATTTTCTTAAACATCCTTTATTTCTCTAATTGAGCTTTCGAAAATGTCTATGGAATGTTCTTAAATGGACGTTCGTAAGACATCCTGATTACTAAAATATAGGACGTTCCAAAGACGTCCATAAGACGTCCACGTCCGTGATATGGACGTTGTAAGGATGTAATGAATGTACAAGCAGGACCTTTTTAAAACGTCCATAAGACGTATTTGTGCTATCTGAGATGTTATGATATGCCCCTTTTATTGGTAAATATTTTCTGTTAATGTACAATAATGCAAGGTCCCACATTGCTAGAATTGTGCAGAAGTATTTGGAAGAGGTAGGAATTGATACCATGGCATGGCCAGCTAGAAGCCCTGATCTCAACCCCATAGAACATATATGGGATAACATGGGCAGAAGAATTTCAACCCGCCAAAACCCTCTGCATAACCTGGATGAACCTAGAACTACCCTGTTTGATATATGAGATACAATACCACAAAATGTCATTAGGAATCATATTCTTAGCATACCAAGGAGAAGTCAAGATATTATCCGTCACGAGGAGGAAATACGAGGTACTGAAAACAAAATTAGTGCAGTAGATTTTATTATTCATAAATCGAATACTTATGTTTTTTTATTTATTTATCTGGGAAATGAAATTTTATGTTATTTTGAGTTATTAAGGGTGAATATACTTTATTTTACGTATTTACTTTAAATTAAAAAAAAAATATTTGTATTTTGATTTTCTGGCGTTTATTGAAATTATGCGATACTTTTGCTGCTAAGTGTATATAGAAGATAAATTAAACAATAATATAATTATCGGATCAGAGATAAATAACGATAAAACTAAAATCAATCAATTAATTAGAGCTTAAAAAAGTTAAGAAGGGAAATAGAATACAAAATAAACCAAAAAGATTGAATGAATTAAGATGCGGTTTGGATATTAAAATAAATAAAATTAAAGAAAATAGAAATAAACCACTAGAAAAAACTCTTGGTTATACATATATCTTTGCAAAATACAACAGGAAAGATGTTTTAAAATGTAAAATTTTAAATTTTAAAACTTCTTGTAGATGTTCTTTTTTTAGATAACTTCTGGTTCAGATTTAAAATATTATTACTGTATTTTTATCGAATGATTATTATATTTTAATTAAATAAAATGTTGTTTAACTTGATACCTCTGTAAAATATATACAGTATATTGTTTTTTATACCTTAATAAAAGACACCAAACTTCAGTTGCTAAAAAATAATTCCAAATATGTTCCTGAAGTACATTTTCCAGTAATATCGATTCAATTTTTTTGTAATATTCATCATAAATCATTACCACACCACTTATATTTATGACCAAATCTTCAAAAATACTTTCTGGACTTAGAAACTCCTGGAAACCTTCAAAATAAACATATAATTGTACAAATAAGATCAGCAACCGAAAGTAGAAATAACTTACAAATTTTGATGGAATTAAACATCAATTTTATTATAACGTCCACTACTGAGTTTTGCATTTTGTCAATTGCAACCATGCATTCGAGACATACGTTTAGGAAATTAAGCAAACCAAAAGAATAATTATCGGATAAAGATGACACAATCTAAAACAGAATTAGTTGAAGCTGATGACACACAAAAAAAAAACAATTTGTAAAAGTTTCACAAAAAAATAAATAACGTTTCTACCTGTGCAAAAGAATCATCTTGTAAAAATTTAGCCACAAAAGATTTCGTATTGGCAAATACCGTATCTTTTAATGGTGCTATAACTTCTAGGGTATAATCCATAAGTATAAACTTATTTAGTGGAAAACTAAAAAAAAAAAATAACTATCTCAGATGTTTTAATAGGAAAACTATAACAAAAATAAATAAAATTAATTGAAACAATGACAAATAACAATTTAAAGCATTTAATATTTTTCATCAATTATGAGAGATGTAACTAAAAATACATGTACTTTCTAAGTCTTATAACCAGCTCTCTCGATAAGCCAAAACATAATAGTAGTTTACGTTATAAGCCCGTTACTTAGATCTTTACATGCGAACACAGACGTTATAAGACAGTGCGAGCATGTAGAGATCAGGTAACGGGCGTCTATCGTACAACGCAATTTACTGTTTTACAACCTAAAATCAAATAAAATTGGATCATTTAATACCATCATTACAAGTTTCCGAATGTGACTTTAAATAATGGCAGTTCAGTTACAACTGATAGTTCCAGTCATAACTGTTGTTAAAAATTTTACGGGATAGTCTCTTAACAACCATAAATAGAGGTTGGTTACCACGGTATAACATTGCAGTACAAGGTGTGGCAGAAAAGTAATGAGACTGATTTTTACTTTACAAAGTTTTTATTTCTTTCAAACATCAATGTTATCCCCTTCAAAGTAGTTTCCTTGGGCAGCTAAACACCAATGGAAACGTTGTTCCCACTGTTCGTAGCAGCGCTGGAAGTCTTCAATCGTTATGGTTTTCAGCATGTCCGTTACATTCTTTTGGATGATTTATAAAGTCCCGAAATAACGCCTTTGAGAACATTTTTCAGTTTAGAAAAAGGAAGAAGTCACAGGGACAGTATACTGTATAAAGCCGTCCTTAAAAGGCTCAGAAAAAGGGTTATTCGCGTGAGACCAGACATTGTCGATAAATGGTTGCTCCATCATGACAACGCCCCATGTCACACTACCCTCTCCATTACAGAATTTTTGACCTCAAAAGGCATTCCTGTGGTTCCCCATCCCCCTTATTCCCCTGACCTCAGTCCCTGTAACTTCTTCCTTTTTTTACTAAACTGTAAAATGTCCTCAAAGGCCGTCAATCGGGACTTTATAAATCATCCAAAAGACTGTAACAAGGGTATAACATTGATGTTTGAAAGAAATAAAAACTTTGTAAAGTAAAAAATCCGTCTCATTAATTTTCTGCAACACCTCGTATATCATTAATACGTGTACCCATTATCTGCTACTATGGTTATTCTTCAAAGAAAAGTTTTAAGACACAAAGAACAATTGAGTGACCTTGCATAGACACAGTTAGTGTGCTCTCCTACTTTGTTAGAAAAGTGGTGCATAAGAGAGGAGCTCATAGGTTTGGAATGAGCAGCTTTCGGTAAATCGCACTATATACTTAAATAAGAGATTATAAAGATATTATGAGTGACCTTGTGGTGTTCATATCCAGACAGAGTTAGTGAGCTCTCCTACTTATTGTATTAAAATGTAAAGCACATTGATTAATTTAATAACATCTCGTTCAGTAACACACAAAAAGTGTTGTTTCAAAAAGTTTAATTCATATATTACAACAAATTAAAGAAAACATGCCTTCACTTAGTTATTTGTACTATGTGAAGATGGCTTTCTGTCCGCTGCATGACTGCTGGCTGCCCGCTATAGCGGGCCCCGCGCGCGCTGTCAACAAATAACATCAAAATCAAACAAATGTGTGGTTATGTTATGGTTTGGTTGTCGACGAAAACATGTGAGTGGAACTACTTTTATTTTTTTAGATATTTAGGATTATTTAAAATCAAGTAAAGGTATTTTGATGCTTTAACATGTCTTTACCAGGAAGAATTCATTATAAACGCATAATTTCTAATTGTTATAGTACATTTTATAAGGCCTATTTAAAACGTAAATTTTAAGAACAAACATTTTTAAATTTCCTTCTGATATTGATCAAAGAAAGGAATGGTGTCGTATTTTAAACATTCCACTCATTTCACTTACAACCAATCATTATACATTATGTGAAAATCATATTTTGATACAAAATCGTTTACAAACACAAATCGTTCAAGACTGCTAAAAGATTTGCTTTGCCTTGCTTTAGCATCCTCAAAACCAGATACACCAAAGATAGTAGTACTTAGTAACATTGTTATCACACCTCCAAACAGAGTCCTGTGAAGATAAAGTTCATTTTAATAATATATACAAAATTAATAAATGAAGCAGAATTTGAGTCAGGCCACTAGTTATGTTGCAGGGTTTATTAAGAAACTTAATAGTTTTGACTGCAAAGAGTGTAAATTTAATTTAGAGACATCTTAGAAGACCATCGATACTTTTACTTATTTTAAAGAAAATGATGATAAAAGACGTTTTATTTATGTACAAAGAAATGTTATTGAATTTCTTTCAAAAATTCATGAAATAGTTTTACCACTTTTGGGTCATATTGACAACATAATTCAAAAAATTAAACTTTTTTTGCCAGGCCATGTTGATTTTAAATGGTTTACATCAGAGGCGACTCGTGGCCTAGTCTATGAGGAGACTACTTTTAAAAGGCACACCCTATATACTTAATAAAAATATATGTCCATAAGAATACAAAAAGCAGAAATATTACATTGTATTCTAATAGAAATATATATTTGTATAAAGTATATAGGGTGAGCCAGCCTCCTCGCAGACTAGGCTACGAGCCGTCTCTGGTTTACATATAAAGAACATAAAACAGACGTATTTTCTCATTTAGTTGAAACTTGTCTACTATTTATGATAAGGAAGTATTATAATGATACTATGAGGGCTGCTGCAATGTCTAAAAGACAAACAAAATGATTTGAAGTTACCGCATTTAATTTTTTTCTGTTTCAGTTTATATGGATGGTTGCTTTTGTCTTATTTCCTAAGATTCAAGAAGAATTTGTTGTTTTGTTCTTTGTTTATTTTAAAAATTTATTTACTTAGGCATTAGTTTTCATATCAAGTAAATTAATTATTTGTTGTGCAATTTCTGATTTTTGTTAGCCAAAGATAGTTAACGTACCGAAATAGTAATGTAATGTTTGTGATATTAGAGTAACTTTCTTAAAGAATCATTTATAAGACGTCCGGGAGCGCCATAGTAAATAATAATAATAATAATAGACATTCTTGCTTCGCATAAGCTCGCTTGTATGGGGGTGAAGTGCATGAAAAATAATTTTTTGTATTGCCATCTCTTTGATATATTTTTTATTTATTTTTCTTGGGAATTTTTAGTAAATATAATTATATAAAACTTTGTATATTTATTTTATCCCTCATAATTATTTGTCATAGAATTTTACATTTTTATTGAGCATTTCATAATTGTTACAAACAGCTAATAAAAAAGGAAAATTTTAATTATAATTAGGAGGAAAATTTACTTAAGCAATTATCTTTTTTTAAACAATACGAAATAGAGCCACAAATATTTCTATAGTTTAATTTTACTTTTTAGTGAATGAAAAATATGTACCTTCAGGTAAAAGTGAAATGTCCGTTTTTCTGGAGTCACTATTCCGAAAATTGATTTAATTATTTTCTCAATTTTTAAAATATTCATAAAAACAAAATTTTGCGATTTATTGCCATCAAAATTTTATTAAATTTTGAAAAAGTGGCTCCAGAGGAACATATTTTAGCTACACGTACATGTTTATTTCACTAAAAATTAAAAAAAATTACTACCAAAATTTTGTATGGCTATATTTCGTATTACTTAGAAAATAATTGCAAAAGTAAATTCTTCTTTAAAAAACCCCCCAATTTTTAAATTAAATATAAAATTATGGGTAACTGCATTACCGACAGAGTAAGAGTTGATGGTAATACTGCAGGATAGCTATTCACTAAGTCATGGGAGCGCTCCCATGGGAGTGTTCCCATATATTTTGCTCTCTTACTCTTAGGTGGGTATATCGTGCTTACTCACTTTTAGCCCAGGTACATGCGTAGTTAGGTCGGAGTAAGTACGATATACCCCACCTAAGAGTAAGAGAGCAAAATATATGGGAACACTCCCATGGGAACACTCCCATGGGAGCGCTCCCATGACTTAGCTACCCTGGTAACTACATTACCGACAGAGTAAGATTAGTTCTACTCCTCCACCCCTCAGGGGGTCGATTCTCGACTCGTAGGAATATTTTCCTATAGGAATTTTTGACATTTTTATATACATCGAAAATCTATGACATTTTCCTACATATAGGAAAGTGTCACAAATTCCTATAGGAAAAGGTTCCTACAAGTCGAGAATCGACCCACAGGTCCGCTGCAAGCAAACATGTTGCCAAATTTCTACAAAGAAACGGCAACTCTTAATAATCCTTCCTCCATGGTACCACGGTAAACAATGCAACTGAATTATTAAAAATATTCTTTACTACGTTGTAGCTAGGACTGCCGCTGTACAGCGGTAAGTAATGAACTGAATTACGGCTGTTTTATTGAAAACATTCTTTACTACGTTGTAGCAACGGTTGGCTCTAAACCATAATAGCCAATCCAAATGAAATAACGTATATTATCAAAGTAAAGCATTTAGTGCATTTTATTAAAAGAATACTATAAAATATTCCAAAGCACTTGTATTAACCTAAACATGCTTGAACCTTAGGTAAACATGCAACAGTATTTCAGGCAAAAACAGCAGCAATACATCAGTGCGCAAAAGAGGTAGTAAGACGTAAGGTAAATGGGAAAACCATTGTCACATTCTCAGACATTCTAGCTACGTTAATAAAAACACAAAAAGTTCCATGCTGGTACACTGAAAGCATGTGAGGAGCTGTTTGGAAGCCCTAACAGCTGGGTAGTCAAAACAGACTAACCTTAGCCTGGGTACCAGGCCACAAAGGCCATAAAGGCAACGAAAAGGCTCGAAAAGGAGCCTCAAAGGCTCTTATTGGCCCAGAACCTTTCTGTGGTCTCACAAAGACAGCTATCAGAACATGCCTGAAGCGGTGGATGTTAAAAAATCTCAAGAATTATGAAAAAATTCACCAGAACAAAGACAGGCCAAAGAAGGACCATCGAC